TTGGATTCATAATTACCCAGTGCATATTCATGACAGAATACCTCAAGTGAAAATTTGAAATATACATTCCCAGAATTTTATACTCTTTGATTCCACAATGGAAATTGTTCTATATGCCTTTTATCTGTGAGAAATTCATGGTACATTGTTAGTGTTTGTTATGTAGTATGCTACTGAGGTGGGATATGGTTGTGTTAGTAGGACTGTGATTCCCTCATGATTATGAAAAAATGTGAATTTTCTAATTAAAACACAAGACCCATGAAATATTCTGAATAAAACAGGACCAAAATACAATACCAGTGGTTAAATATGAATTCAACCTACATACGCTCCATTTTGGTTCTTTTGCTTAAACTCCTTCCTCTGATAATTTCTCTTTTCACTTTCCAAAAGCAAGTCTGATGTTTTCACTAATCTCTGCATTATAAAAGCTATTGCAATTCCAAGGAGAAGGTGACACTATGATGCAATCCACCAACACTGCGTGGTGCCCACGTGTCGTACACGATTTCTGATAGCTAGGAGGCCATTAGAAAAAGGGGAATAATATGGATTACTCCAAAAACTTCACATTCTTCCAATCAGAGCTTTTATTACTTACAAAAAGCAGACAGCATACAACTGGAAATGTTCCCTAACAAGCTGTCCCCCGGCTCAAAAGCTGTCCAGGCACACTCTGATTTGTGTTGTCGGGAAGAACTTAAATGGGATATTTTCACGACACTGGTCACTGCCCTGGCTTCTGGAAGCTACATGGTGGAAATATACACTCTTCCACACAAGCCCTCCAACTGGCATTGTACGTGAAGGACACCATGGGAGCCTACCTACTGCTGGTCTCCCCCTGGCCAAGTAGGTCCAGTCAATGGAGGCTTCTCCTGACTCACGTGCCTGCAAAGTCTGACAAATCTGGCACGTAAGACTGCAGGCTGCTGGCTCACAGGCTGTAGAGGTCAATGAATCCCAAGATTGCCAGGCAATACGGCTCAAGTCCCAAGAACCAGAGATCAGATGATAAGCCAGATGCAGGATCCAGAGTGAGTAAAAGCCAATGAGTTTTGCCAGAAAGTCCATATATATTGAATGCAGGCCACACACCCCAGGAAACTCCCTTTCAAGTGACTGGCTGCTCATAGCAGATCTCATCATGAAGGTGATTACATCATTAACTACATAACTGCCAAACCACTGAGAATCATGGCCCAGCCAAGTTCACACACAGACTTACCCATCAAAATGACCATACACTTATTTTTTTTTGTTATTGTTAGTGGTGTTGCAAAATTATGTCATATTCTTTAGCACTAACATCCTTTTCTTTTGTGCACTTCTTAGTGGCATTGTTTACTTTGGTCAAGCTATGCTCATTACACATTCGGTGCTACTTTTCTCATCACCTAAAATAACAAGTATCTATGATCTACAGGGAGCCCTGGTGATGCAGAGAGTGATTACCCCTCCTCCCCCCATTCTTGGTAACCATCAATGAACATTTGTCTCTGTATATATTATGTATTTTTTGTTTTCTTATAAAAAGTGGGACCCTACAGTATTTGTATTTATGTGATTGATGTAGTTCAGTTAGCATTGTGTCCTCCAAATTCATCCATGTTGTTTCACAGACTCATCATTTTTCCTTATAGTTGCATAGTATTCCATTGACTCTATGTACCACGTTTTGCTTATCTGTTCATCTGTTAATGGACACTTAGATTGTTTCCATTGCTATTAATGTTGCAATGACCATAGGTGGGTGTATGTCTGTCTGTGTCTGTTTTATTACATCTCTAGAGTATATTATACATAGGAGTGGGACTGCTGTATCATAAGATATTTCTAGTTTTTTTGAGGAAGCAGTACAGCATTTTCCATATGGATGTACCATTTTACAGTCCCATCAACGATGGATAAGGTTCTCATCTTCTCACATCCTCACCAATATATATTTTTTAATCTGTGCCATTTTAGCCTGGGTGAGATGGCATCTTATTGTAGTTTTGATTTGCATATAATGGCTAATGATAGTAAGCATCTTTTCATGTTTATTGGCTGCTTGAATGTTCTCTTTGGTGAAGTGTCTGTACATGTCCTTTGCCGATTTTTTAATTGAGTTGTTTGTCTTTTTGTTGCTGAGTTGTTAGTTTTCTATATATTTTAGACATTAGATCTTTATTGGATATGTTGTTTTCAAAATAGACTTTTTTCTTAGTCTGTACGTTGTCTTTTTACTCTTTTAATAAAATCTTTTGATGAACCCAAGTGTTTAATAGTCTTTCGATGAACGTATTTAATTTTTTATGAGGTTCCAAGCATTCTTCTGCTATTCGTGCATTTGTAGTTACATTTGTTAGCCTATTTAAAAAAAATTAGCTCCCATATTTTTCTCGCTTTCTTCCAGGAAATGTAGTTTTAGGATTAACATTCAGGTCTTTGGTCCATTTTGTTAGTTTTTGTATATGGTGTGAGGTATGGGTCCTGTTTCATTTTTCTGCAAGTGGATATCCAGTTTTGCTAGCACCATTTATTAAAGAGTTTTTCCCCACTGAATGAATTTTGACCTTTTGTCAAAATCATTTTCCATACATAAATGGATGGATTTCTGGGTTCTTCTATTCCATTGTTCTATGTGTTTACCATTGAATAAGTACCACACTGTTTTGATATTGATACTTTGTTCTTCAATATTGCTATGGCTATTCAGGGCCTCTTTACGTGTAAACTTGGTCATTTTTTTCCACTTGAGTAAACAACGTTGTCGGGATTTGTATTGGGATTGCATTTTATCTCTAGATCGCTTTAGGCAGTATTGACACTTTAACTATATTAAGTCTTCCAATCCATGAGCACAAAATGCCCTTTCATTTATGTAGGTCTCTTTTAGTCTCTTGTGGAAGTGTTTTATAATTTAGATTGATGTCTTTTATAGGTTAGTTCCTACGTATTTTATCATTTTGGGGGCTATTGTAAATGGTATTGTTTTCTTCATTTCCTTTCAGAATACTTTTTAGTGTGAACGAACCCAACTGATTTTTGTGTGTTGGTCTTGTACCCTGCAATGCTGCTGAATTCTTCTATCAGATTCAGTAATTTTCTTGTGGAATCTTTAGGGTTTTCTATGTATAGGACCACATCATCTGCAGATATAGTTATACTTCTTCCTTTTCGATTTGGATACATTTTATTTCTCTTTCTTACCTTAGTGCACTGGCTAGGACTTCCAGTACAATCTTGAATAAGAGTTGTGATAATGGGAATTCTTGTCTCATGCCTGTTCTCAAAGGGAAGACAGTCTTTCTCCATTGAGAATGTTGGCTGTTGACTTTGCATATATGTACTTTATTGTGTTGAAACATTTCCCATCTGTTCCTATGTTGCTGAGTTTTTGTCAAGAAAGTGTGTTGGATTTTATCAAATGCCTTTTATGCATCAATTGATATGCTCATGTGGTTTTGCCAGGCTGCTTTAGAAAGACAAACGGTACCTCAATAACTCAAGCAATTCTCAATCCAGAGATTAAAAAGTCAAACATATTTCTTTGTCCCACAGTGACCACTATTAGCCTTTAATTATATCTACAAGATAAGTAAGCCCTAGTAACTTATTACTTGGCTACCATGAAAATCTCAATTCTCTCAGTGTACTGGTGTGCTGTTTCATGGTCACTTGCTAAATTAGTTCTTTCCTATAATCAGTGACCTTCTGAATCATGATGATTTAAACTGTTTAACATCTATTTTTCACTCTTCCACATACAATGACATGGATGTTAAAGTCAGCGTTCTTGTTCGAACCACCAACCTTTTGGCTAGTAGCCGACAGCTTAACCATTTCTGCCACCTTGGGACTACAATAAAATAGAGCATTTCATCTCATTCATTGCTTCCCAGAGACCATCACAATAACAAGTGGAAGGCCAACAATGAAGGCATCATAACAACTGTAGTAAAACGAGTTCCTTTATTAGGACTTTTGCCTTGTTTCTTTGGAAAAACAGCTTGAGAGATTTTTCTGCTAAGCCCTGAGGAGTTACCTTTACTAGTTTTCTAATCCAGAGGGTTTACTTTCATTCAGGCTGATCGACATTTCCTGAGTAAGCTGTAAAAAACTTGGTTTGATACTTTGTCTGGCCTGGCCTGCAGCCTGTGGTCTGCACTGTGATTGGTATGCACCTTGCAGGGATTGGTCAATAAACTATGCAAATTAAGTGACTATAGCCTACTATGCAAATGAAGTTTCTGTGGCCTACTAAGAAGGGATTGTTCAGATCACAGCCCTGGTGAGAGGGCCATGCCTTGAAACTGACAGTTTGTGTATGTATACAGCCAACACCACAGAGGTTTTTCAGAAAGAAAAAAGCAGAAAAAAGGCAAAAGAGGCAAGAAGAGATCCGAGGGGGCAAGAAACCTCCAAAAAGAGTTGTAACACAGGTCAAGGACTGTGTCACTGAAGATAGTGAAAGTCCTGGAAGAAGATGGCAGAGCCTGTGGCAACAGGCCTGAAAGGCGCCCTGTGGCAGAGTCGGTGGTAACGGACGAGAGGGCCAAGAGGCCTGTCCTGAGAGGGTCAAGAAGCATGCATGGTAGACGGGGGAGCATGCATGGTTGAGGGGGGAGTGTGCATGGTTGAGGGGAGCACGCATGGTGGGGGGGACACGCATGGCAGGGAAGGCATACATGGCAGAGAGGCCTGCTTGCTTGAGCAGCCTAGAGGAGCTTACAGAGCTGTCTGCACTGAAAGAAGGGATGTGCTCTCAACATCAGAGAAGTCTTCCAGACTTTGCCTACATGCTTCCTGATCCTGATCCCAAGTTGTAGCCTGTTGATCCTGTCACTTCCTTAATAAACCACTTAACTGTAAGTACAGTTCCTGAGTTCTGTGAGACTTTGCAGCTAATTGCTGAATACAAATGGGAGGGAAGAGTGCTGAAGGGTATGGAGAGTGGCTGGTGGTAGAGACGGAGTGGTACAGCAGCTTGTAAAATGTGGAAATCTGGGATATATCTGCACTTGGCCTGTAGGAATTGGCTTTGTGCTGGTTCTTTTATTTGGAGTTATTCTTACAGCAACAGATTTCAAACTTCAAGTAGAAAATAACAAATTGTAATGTAGCAATTTCAAAAAATCTCAACTAGAAGTTTATTAATGAAAGAAATGGATCTTTCCACGTCCTTCCTCCTTGACACACATAATCTCATGAGATTTATCAAATTGTAACATTTAATTACATTGTCGAATGTAACATCTCATGTTGATTATTACGGACTAGACAGTTCTCCGTAGTATGAATTCTGACGTCTGGTCCATTGTGAGAATTAACCGTTTTACCAAATTATTTACATCTGCAAGGTTTAACCATTATGAAGTCTCAGATGATTTGTAAATTGTTAATTTGGCATAGTGACCTTGCCATATACACTGCATTCTAGTATATAATGTAATGTTTAATGAGGATTGACCCCCACGTAAAGGCTTGTCATGCTACTTATTAGATTGGAAAGGTTTCTCATTACTACGAATTTTCTGAAACTCCACAAGATTTGATCTTTGGGCAAAGCCTTATCACACTCACAACATTTCTAAGGTTTCTCTACAGTATGAATTCTCTGATGTTCAGTGAGTTTTGAACCCCAGTTAAAGGCTTTCCCACATTCAGTGTATTTGTAATTATTCTCTCCAGCATGAATTCTCTGATGAGCTGTAAGGCCTTCACGACGAATAAAGCCCATGTCACATATGTTACATTTATATCGTTTTTCTCCAGTATGAATTCTCTGATGCCTAGTGAGATTTGAGCCCCACTTAAAGTATTTTCCACATTCATTGCATCTGTAATCTTCCTCTTCAGTATGAATGTTGTTATGATCCCAAAGGACTGATGGACTGTAAAAAGCACTGCCATATTCACTACTTTGATAAAATTTCTCTCCATTATGAAACCGCTGATGTTCCAAAAGGCCTGATTTTCGGGTAAAAGACTTATCACATTCTTTACATTTGTAAGGTTTCTCTCCATGAACTTGTTGGTGTTCCAAAAGACCTGATTTTCGGGTAAAAGCCTTACCGCATTCATTACACTTGTAAGGTTTCTCTCCACTATGAATTCTTTGATGTTCCTCAAGTCTTAATCTTTCAGAAAAAGCCTTACCACATTCAATACATTTATAAGGACTCTCTCCAGTATGAATTATCTTATGTTTCCGAAAGACTGATCGACTGCCAAAACTCTTACCACATTCATTACATTTGTAAGGTTTCTCTTTACTATGAGTTCGCTGATGTTCCACAAGACCTGATTTCTGGGTAAAAGCTTTACCACATTCAATACATTTGAAAGGTCTTTCTCCAGTATGACATCTCTGATGAGCTATGAGGCTTGCAGGATGACTAAAGGCCTTGTCACATGTATCACATTTATATGGTTTTCCAACAGTATGGATTCTCTGATGCCTAGTTAGATTTGAGCCCCACTTAAAGGCTTTTCCACATTCATTGCATTTGTACTTTTGCTCTCCAGTATGAATTTTCTTATGATTCCAAAGGACTGATGGACTGCTAAAATTCTTGCCACATTCATTACATTTGTAAGGTTTCTCTCCAGTATGAATTTTTTTATGTTTCAAAAGACCTGATTTTCGGGTAAAAGCCTTACCGCATTCATTACATTTGTAAGGTTTCTCTCCACTGTGAGTTCGCTGATGTTCAATTAGACTTAATTTTCGGATAAATTCCTTACCACATTCATTACATTGGTAAGGTTTCTCTCTACTATGAATTATCTGGTGACTTTTAAGGCTTGAACGTTGAGTAAAGACCTTGCCACATATATTACATTTATATGGTTTCTCCCCAGTATGGATTCTCTGATGTTTATTGCGGTTAGAGCCCCAGTTAAAGGTTTTGCCACATTCGTTACATTTGTAAGGTTTTTCTCTGCTGTGGGTTTTCTGGTGTTGTAGAAACCATGAAGGATGCATGAAAACCTCCCTGCATTCATTGGAAATGTTCCTTTGGAAACTGGGAGGAATTCTTTGAAGGGATGGAACTGCAGATCCAATGTTGATAGATGTCTCCAGTTGATGACATTCATATATTTTCTCTCCAGTGTGAAATTTCTGCATTTCATACACATGGGACTGAAAGCTTAATTCAATCGTATTTTTAAAACATGTCATATACTCATTTCCTGCATGTCTTTTAACATGTTGATCTCTGACAGAGAAAATTTCGTTACAGGCTGTAGTCACTCCATTGTTATTTCCTTCATCGTCCCTCCACTGACTCTCAAACTCATGCATATTTCCCCTGACTTGACTGAAGTGAAAATCCTTGATGCCATGGCTTTCGTTTCTTTCCAAAATCACTCTCTGGAATAATTCTCCTTTATCAATGATCTCTTTTGGTGATAATTCTGTGATCACACATGGAGAAAAGACATCTAGAAAATATAAAGAGTCATAAGCTTCCTATTAACAACAGTTGGAAAATATTTTATAACCCAAAACATAATTTAGACCAACAAGAATACTTGTAATAAAGATAATTTTGAACCTTCTCCACTATGGTCTTCAAATGTTTAGGAACACAAATTTAATAGGGTTTGTCAATAAAGAAAGGATGATTGTATGTAATTCATATCATTTTAAGGGAAGACAAGTTTTAAATACATATCACCATACCACTCATGCTAGGTAAAGAACGTAAGCCCTAAGAAAAACAGATGGTGGCATTCTGTGGTGGATGGTGTGTGTCTATGAGGGTGGAAGCTATGCTACCTGTATTTCAAATAACAACAGGGTTACCCAAGGTGGCCAACAGTCAGTATAATTTCAAGACTAAGAGAGACTAGGAAGCAGGGCCTGGTGATCTATTTCTAAAATCAACTGATAAAAATCTCATGAGTAACAGAATATTCTCAGAGATTAGTGCTGGAAGATGAGCCTCTTGAGGTAGAAAGCACTCAAATTATGACTAAGGAAGTCCTGCCTCCTCAAATTAGAGTCAATCTTAATGACACAAGCAGGGTAGAGCCTTTGTGACCTTCATTTGCTTATATGGCATGACTCTAAATGGTAAGTAACTGCTGCAAACATCCATTACTAATTGGAACATTGAGTGTACCAAGTATGAATCAAAAACACTGAAAGTCATCAAAAATGAAATAGAACGTTTGAAGATAGATGTCCTAGACATTATCAAGTAGAAATGGACTGATATTGGCCATTCTGATTCTGACAATCATATGGTCTACTGTGCAGGAACAAATAATTAAAGGAAAATGGCATTGTACTTATTGTCAAAGAGAATGTTTTAATATCTTTCCTGAAGTACAATGCTGTCAGTAATAGATTAATATCTATATGCCTACAAGGAAGAGGAGTTAATACAGCTATTATTCAAATTTACACATCAATCAGGAGTGACAAAGATGAGGAAACTGAAGATGGTTACAAAATGCTGCAGTCTGAAATTTAACCGACGTGTAATCAAGATGTGTGGATAATTAATGGTGATTGGAATGCAAAAGTTGTAAATAAATAAGAAGACACAGTAGATGGAAAATATGAAATTGCTGACAGGAATGATGCTGGAGACAGCATGATAGATTTCTGGGCTGGAGATAGCATGATAGATTTCTGCGAGAATGACTTGTTCATTGAAAACAACAAAACTGACAACTATATACATGGACCTCACCAGATGTATTACACAGGAATCAAATCAACTGCATCTGTGGACATTATGAAAGCAACTCAATATTATCAATCAGAACGAAGTCAGACACCAAATGTGGAAAACACCATAAATGCAAGTTCATATCGAACTAAAGAAAATCAAAGCAACTACAAGAACCAAAGTACAACCTTGAATACATCCCACATGAATTTAGAGACCATTTCAAGTACAAATTTGATGCAGTGAACACTAATGACCAATGATCAAAGAGTTGCAAGATGACATCAAAAATGAAGAAAGTAAACAGTCACTGAAAATAGAGGAGAGAAAAAAAAGACCAAAATGGATGCTATAAGTCTCTGAAACTTGCTCTTAAGCACAGAGGAGCAAAAGTGAACAGAAGAAATAATGAAGTAAAAATGCAGAACAGAATATTTCAGAGGGAGACTCAAGAAGACAAGGTAAAGTATAATAATGAAACATGCAAAAACCTTGAGTTAGAAAACCAAAAGAGAAGAACAAAATCGGAACTGTCAAGGTGAAAAAACTGAAAATTCATGCCTCGAGTTAAATTACAGGAGAATTCTATGGGTAAAAAATTAATGCAGAAAGCATTAACAAAAGATGGAAGCAATATACAGAGTCAGTGTACCAAAAAGACTTCTTGAACATGCAACCATTTCAGGAGGTAGCATATGATCAAGAACCACTATTACTAAACGAAAATCTTCAAGCTGCACTGAAAGCACCAATGGAAAAAACAAGGCTCCAGGAATTGATGAAATACCAATTAAGATGCTTTAACAAGCAGATGCAATGCTGGATACACTTACCAGCTATGTGAAGAAATGTGAATGACAACTCTTGGTCAACCAACTGGCCCAGATCCATATTTCTGCCCATTCAAACAGAATGCAGAAATTATCAAACAAAATCATTAATATCACATGCTAGCAAAATTCTGCTGAAGATAATTGAAAACTGGCTGCAGCTATACATTGACAGGGAACTGCCAGAAATTTAAGCCGCATTCAGAAGAGGATATGGAATGAGGGGTATCACTGTCAATATCAGATGGCTTTTGATCCAAATCAGGTAATATAAGACATTTACCTGTTTTACTGACTACGCAATGGCATTAGATTGTGCGGATGATAACAAATTATACATACCGTGACCAAAATGTAAGCTCAGAACACTTAATTATGCACATAGGGAACCTGTACATGGATCAAGAGGCGGTCATTCAAAAAGAATAAGGGGACCTTATGTAGATTCAAACAGGAAAAGGTGCGTGGCAAGGTTGTATTCTTTCACCTTACATATTCAATCTGTAAAATGAGCAAATAATCCAAAACTGGACTATATGAAGAAGAACCAGGCATTAGGATTGGAGGAAGACTCATTAACAACCTGTGATATGTAGATGATACAACTTTGCTTGCTGAAAGTGAAAATGACTACAGGCACTTACTGATGAAGGTAAAGACTACGGGCTTCAGTATGGATTACAATTGAACATAAAAACAAAACAAAACTCCTTACAACTGGATCAATAAACCACATCATGACAAATGACACATTGAAGTTATCAAGGATTTCAATTCTAATTGGATCAACAATCAATGTCCATGGAAGCAGAAGAAGTCAAGAAATCAAATGACAAATTGCATCGGGAAAAGCTGAAGCAGAAGACCTCTTTTAAAGTGTTAAAAAACAAACATGTTACTTTGATGACTAAGGCGCACGTGACCAATCTATGGTCTTTTTAATCACCTCATATGCATGGGAAAGCTGGACACTGATAAAGATGGAAAAAGAACCGACACATTTGAATTGCAATGTTGGCAAAGAATATTGAATGTACCAGGGACTACCGAAGAACAAATAAATCAGTCTTGGGGAAAGTGCAGCCAAAATGATCCTTAGAAGTGAGGATGGCACAACATCTTGCTGACTTTGGACACATCATCAGGAAACACCAATTTCCCTAAAACGACATCCAGTTTGGTAGAGGGTCAGCAAAAACGAATATGAAGTAATCAGTAGCAATGTGGCTTTTGTGGTCAGTTAGTGATAGTTACCCTTGGAATTTTCCAAGTGAGTGAAGTGTCTTTCGTTAACTAGGTCTAAGGACTATTACCTGAGGATTTGTCCAAATGAATGGGGACTGGCCAAGCCAGAAAGACGACCATGTTGCTGATCAGGAAGGGAGTAAGACATGATTCAATAAATCATCTGCATGCAATGAGGCCTTAATCATGACTACGTAATGATGCCAATAAAGCCTCTGAACATGTACATTCCATTAGCTTCATAATGGGTGAAAGATATCGATATAATTGGGGGATAGTGTGCCCTTTAGGGGACATGGAAGCTCCGCATTGGGGACCCTCCCATACCTCATTCCATATGCTTCTTCTTTATGTGGATCCTGTGACATAATAAATCTGTAATCATGAGTATAGCAATTTCCATGAATTCTGTACTTTGTTCCAGCGAATTATCGAACCCAAAGGAGAAGTATGAGCCACCAGGTGAAAGTGAGGGAGTCCGGAGAAGGCCAACGAGCTTGCTGCTGACATCCTGAAGGGGTAATGGAAAAACCCCAAAGTTGAATCCAGCAACCATGTCAGAAGTAAGGGTGTTGTGTGTATTCCTGAGCTTGCAGCTGGCATCTGCCTATCTGGCAGTCTGAAGGACAGCGTCCTTTTAACTAGTGAGATCTGACCTAATCCCAGATGGCTGGCATCAGAGAGACAAGTGCTTTTTGAGTACCTGGTGTCAGAAATGAATGGAGAAGTAGAAAGTGGGAATTTGTTATATCCTTACAGTTGCGAACAGAATAGTAGGATTCTAAGATTTCCATCAGATGCATTTGGCCTGAGAAGGGGGCTTTCTTATCCTGGATGCAACAAGGGAAACACTTAATGAGACAGACTGGCATCAATAGTTTCAACAATGGGCTCAAACATACCAATGACTGTAAGGATAGTGCAGGACTGAGCAATGTTTCATTCTGTTATACAGAAGGTTGCCATGAGTTAGAACCAGCTCGACAGCAACTAATAAGAACGAGCCCTAGGAGATGCAGTATTTGTAATGCGATGGGAGCCCTGGTGGTGCAGTAGTTAAGAGCTTGGTTCCTAACCAAGAGGTTGGCAGTTCGAATCCATGAACCACTCCGTGGAAATGCTATGGGGCAGTTCTACTCTGTCCTATAGGGTTGTTATGATTCAGAATTGACTTGAGGACAAGGGGTTTGGTTTTTTTTTGGTGGTGCGATGAATCACCTTTATATGGCTTTTCTAGACATGGTCTTCTAATTCCCACAAAATTACTGCTGGAACTATGCAAATAAGGTGTATGAAGCCCTTGCAGGGACTGGTCAGGTTTGCTATCCCACTAGGTTTAAAAGGAGCCAATTCCAGAGGCTGGGGTGGGACCTCACTAGCAGCAAGAGGAGCCAGGAGTGGAATGCATCCTTTGGACCCGGAGTCCCTGTGCTAAGAACCATCTAGACCCAGGAGAGAGAGAGAGAAAGGGAGCTTAATAATACTGTAGGAGGAAGCTGCGCAAGAAGGCGAGAAGTGGCAGGAAGCACGGCAGAGTAAAGCAGCAGAGAAATGACTGCAGTAGAACAAAGAGACAGGTGTGAGATGGCACAGTGTGCTTCCCGGCCCACAAGCGAGAGAGCTGAGCACCTTCAGGCAAGAGCCTTCCTGTGGAGTGGGGTACCTCCAGGCATTTATCATGAGAGCT